AAAAAAGAACATTTTGTGTGATGTACTGTCTCGGTTTCAGGTAACAGGAAAGCTACTAAAAGAGAGCCTGTCTCTTATACACATCTAGATGTGTATAAGAGACAGCATTAGCGGTTGGCCAAACTCTTCAGAAAAATTTAGACGCTTTGGAGTCTTGGTGCGTTCAAAATGACATGCTGCCTAATCGAATAAAGTGCAATGTAATGCATGTTCATTTTATGAAGAATGAACCACACTTTATTCCGTTATCAATTGGAGATCATGTGTTGCAAGAGAAAGAGGTTATTAAATTGCTTGGTGTCTTTTTACAAGCAAATATGAAATGGGATTGTCAAGTTAATGAAATGATCACTAAGTCTTGTCGTCGTCTATACATGCTGTATATTTTAAAACGGTATGGTGCTCCTGTTGAAGATCTTGTGTTTACCTATATTACATATATACGTCCCTTGCTTGAGTACGCTAGTCCTTTGTGGCATTCTGCATTGACGAAACAACAGTGTACTAAATTGGAATTTGTGCAGAAACGAGCCTTAAAAATTATTATTGATTACCGGAAGTACACGGATTATCAAGACACTTTGAACAATTTAAATATGGAAACTCTTCAAAAACGACGATGTGGTGTGTTAGCCAGTTTTAGTAAGGGTTTGGTTACATCTACCCGGTTTTATAGTTGGATTTCTGAAAACCCAAGACCCAACAGATTTTTACGTAGTTTCAAGAAGTACAATGTTCCTAGATGTAGGACTAACCGTTATTCGAATTCAACTCTTCCTTCTGCAATACGGTTATTGAATGACTGATTTTTTTAATATGATGAATACGATGAATTCTGTGAACTATTGAATTTTTAAAATCCTTATTGCCTCATTTGATTAACTTATAATTTGTTGTATTTGTTATCTTTGTATTTTTTATATGTATTTTGTAAATATTTTTGAACAATTGTAATATTGTAATGATAATAATTGTATAATAAAAAGTATTATATATTGGTAATTGTATAATATTTTCTCGTAATTCCAATGCTGTATGTTTAAATACTGTCTCTTATACACATCTAGATGTGTATAAGAGACAGCAGTATAGCTCTTGAAAAAGTAGGCCTAAATGCTGAAGGTTAAAGGCAAAATATCAAACGATTGTGTCATTGGGAAATTGGTTATTAAGTCAAAAATGTTGCTAAGCAAAATTTTCAACAAAGAAAAAGCAAGGCTGGAGTAATTTCGACATTTTAAAAAATTCTCTTGTCTACCTTGAGCCTACTCATATCACTCTGTCTCTTATACACAACGTAGGTGTGTGTGTGTGTGTGTGTATGTAACTGTATGTGCACACATACCAGCAATCTCCTCTCGCTTCTTCATTTTTTCACCTTGTACTTTCCTTGCAAGAGACCTTGAAAGTACTCGCAGCACAGTTGCAGCCCTGTGCAAGTCTGGGCTGCTAACTTTATATTTATTCTTGTATATTGACAAATAGTCAATAAATTTCCTGTACGATCAAAGGTAGTGCCGAACAGTCCTTGCACTTCTGTTCTTTTGAAGAACTGTTGCTGCCCTAAAAAGGAGATAAATTAATTTTATTTTTTCTTAAACAATCCTTATTTATAGGCGAGTCAACAAATCAAGTTCAAAGGGACATTTATTCAATAATCGCCCTCTGCATTTGTAATCATTTGGCTTGTATTTCTTTTATCTCATGTTAATTTTTCATTCTTTCTTATGCCTAGTCTCGTCTCTTGAAATTCACCATGCTTCCACCCCTGAGGTTTTGCATATTGTAAATAGAGTACCTGTAGTAATATTGGTTACAGTGTACATACAGTAGATTTACGGAGTGTTAGGAAGCAAAAAAAAAAATAATGGATTTCAAATATATACTAATGTAATTGAAAAATCATTTTTAAGTAATAAATGAATACTAACGTCATCAATCCCTCCACATCAACCAGTTTTGCTGCAGGGGTATTTTCTGTCTTCCCTGCAGCATTGATAGTAATTTTGACTTCTGCCACTACCTGCTTCGCGGCCTTGTTGTTGAGCTGTAGTGTTTCCGCCAGGTATTTATGAAGACTCTCTATAATGGTTAGTTCTGCAAAAAGTGATAATAATGTCATTTTGTATTAAATACATATTAAGCTTATAAAAAATTGAAACCCATTTTTTTGTCAAAATATCGCTTAAGATATATTTTCTTGAATACTGTTTGTTTATTCAGAAATCACATAAATATACCATGGCCATACGAGTACTGATAAACGTATTATCTGACAGTTTTCATTTATCTATTTGGGGGTCTGAGATTGTGTAGTGAACACGTTTTCAAAAGTCTAAAATGTACGTCTAAGGAGGTCTTTTTCTAAACACCAACGAAAAAAAGGGGGTGGAAAAGTTTGAGAGTGATTAATTACATTAAGATTAATGAGAACGAACTGGCCAATCATGAATGGAGGCCAGGGGACCAGATAGGTTTTGTGAGAAGCAGACAATGTTGAGGTGTCAATGAAGCCCTCCCAGGAATATTGCTTTTGTAGTTGTTCAGAAATGCACTTTAATGCATTTTGAGTGGTCTGATATAATGACTTTATACCTTCCAATTAATAATTAATTGGAAGATTAATTGGAAGATAATTATTCATCTACAACAATTGTTTCATATACGTTTCATTAATTTCGAGTAAGGAAAATAGACCTGTTAGTGAAGCACACTAGGCTGCTACTCTTGTGTTTCACTGTTTGTGTAAGATTCTGATGGTTCGTCTGGTTCGTCGGGGTTCAATAATAGATTTTATTGAAAATAAGCGGGCGGGGTTGAGTGCGCCGGCATTGATTTAATTGATTGATTTAATTGATTCATGTCTCTGATTGGTATAAAGTCCGGTCATCCATGATCAAGGTCAATTTACGTTATAAAGGCCTGTTTATACTTCAATGATAACGATAACGATTTAAAAAGCTAAAAAGCAATTGTTTACTGGCAGAAAATAAAAGAAATAAGAGAAGTTTTTACACTAGAACAATTCGATAACGATTTGTCAGTTATGCGATAACAACATATTTTGACAAATCAAATCCGATGACGTCATAATCATGGAAAAACATTAAAATCGTAGTAGTACCAACGATTTTATCGTTTTTCCATGATTATGACGTCATCTGATTTGATTTGTTAATGTATTTTGTTTTCGTATACACGATAAATCGTGTATACGATAACAAAATAACAATCTTTAGTTTTTTTTATTGTTATCGTTGAAGTATAAACAGGCCTTAAGTGTGGTAAAAAAAAAATCCCTAAAGATACAGCATAGCTCACCGCACTAGGCTCATGAATAGGACAGGATACTAGGGTTATATCGGACAAAAACCATTTAATTATGTGGTAACCAAAGTTGTTAAGGGTTGGTTGAATTATAATAAAGTTTATTATTTAACCTGTTCATATGATGAATATACAAGCGGTATGAGAGCTGATATATTACTCTATAGGTATATATACATGCTAAATTATGCTAAGTTTTCCTAGATTATGCCTAGCCCAAATGGTAGATGCTAAAGGGGGTTTGAACTATGGCAGATAGCATACTTATGCCAGGTCTGGTCACTATGTCCTTAACCGATTGCCGGAAGTAAACAAACACCAAGCAACCAATCAGATCGAAACGATTATATCACGTGATTGCTCTTAGCCAATCATGTTGTATTTATTTTCTCCTTATATACCTATGTTTACATTTTTAAAAACTTTCTATTGGATAAAATAGATATTTATTTTACAGAATAAGAAGAGGTGGCCGACATAGTGACCAGACCTGGCATAATTATGCTTTTTGACATAATTTAGACCCCTTTAGAATCTAGCGTATGTGCTGGCATAATTTTGGCAA